TTGGGGCCAGCAACACAAGATACCTTACTGGTTCTCCTCTCTACCATTGACGAATCTTGACAAGGGAACCGTGACCAATACCATAAGGATGTAGGGCTCTCAAGTTTCTCCACGGTGACGTAATCAGCATTCACTCCTTGAACCTTATCCGCTCTCACCAACTGATTTATAATATAGACCTGATAGTTCACCAATATTTCATTTGTTGGATGTTCCCACCCTTGAAATATTTCTTCAGGGAAATAATCAACCTTATCGGAGAACTTCACCTTCCCTTTAACTTTAATAGGATCCACAGGTCCCACGTTGGTCTGGATATAAGTTCCTTCAGAGGTGACGTGAATAGATGTCTTCAATTTTGCCAATGTTGGACATCCTAGTAACAGCGGGACAGTTAAACAGTCATCAGTGACTATAAACTGATCCTTAATAGAAATATCAGGTGTAGTAATACGTAACATAACCGCACCATATATCCTCAACTTACCACCATCTGCCACGACAATGGGAGGGGTAACCGTAGTATCGATAGCACCATCCATACCAAGCCTCTCTAATGTAGATATAGTGACTAGCGATAATTCGGCTCCTGTGTCGAAGAGCGCGGTAATAGTCTCTCCTTCAATCTCAACATCCCCTATAACCATAGCCATTTTCTCCTTACAAGATAGATTAAGGTGATACCGTTCTTCTAAACCCTGTAGACCACCAGAAAGTGTAAATATCCTGAATGGAGAATAAGTAGCACAATGCACCTTCGCCTTATCTGGGCGATTAGTTCTCATAGGGGATGGACTCCTTGAAGACGTCAGACCTTTGATTCTCCCTCTACACACATAGGCCAAATGACCAGCCAAACCGCATCTGGCACACGTAGCCCTCTCAACTTGGATCTTGCAGTCATCCAATCTATGCCCTGGGCTCCCGCACCTTAGACACCTCTCATCTAAATCCCTGGGTTCTTCAGCTGTGCACCTTTTTGCAGAATGACCTTTACCCAAGCAGCGATAGCACTTGAACTCGGCCTTATCTTGCCCCATGGCAAAGACGTGACACCTTCGCATACTGCTTGCCGAATCTTCACTATCGGATGCATGTAGAAGTGCTTGTACAAACTTCGATCCTTTTCGGTCATGACTAGGACTCCTAAACCGCTTTCTCTCTTCAGGTTCATAACCATTTCCCATAGCGTAGTCTTCATCAATCATCTTCGCTATTTGGTACATACGCCGATGCTTGGTGAGAACCTTCTCGCGGAACCGTTGATAGCTCACCTTAGGGTCTGATACATAATCATCCAACTTGATTCGCAATTCCTTATCCGCTAAACCCGTATATAGCCTCCACTTTAGCATATACTCCAAGGGTGGAGCACCCAAATGATATAGCTCAGTAGATAGCCTCTCGAGTCGCTTAGCAAACCGATGAACCGAATCCTTACCTTGCGTACATAACTGGAAAGCCCTATTGGCACGCTGTAAGTGCTCGTCGGTATCATATATCTTCCTAAACCTTCTGCAGACCCTTTCCAAATGATAGGCGAATGACTTATAGCATCTGTGCGGGGGACTATCTCTATCAGTAACCTTACCCCACACATCCATATCCGTGTGGTGTTTCAGCCACAAATATTGAACCACTTCAGAATGACCTTCAGTAGTTCGTTCCATTTCTTCGATCCATGTCGTACCAGACCGTATATCTTCTCCGCCATTATACCTTCTTGCTGGCCTAAGCTTCATAGCCATCTGCTCGGCCGAGTCGTACTCCTTGTAGTGGATCTTGGTCCGACACTCTCTTGTGGCACAGACATCACACTTCCGAGAGGATCGTACAACCCTATGTACTGGATGGAAGTGTCCACCGCCTGTTAGGCGATGCTTCACCCCATAATCACTATCCTCCGAACTCGAACGATCTACTCGATTGCTCGATCTCGGTCTCTTACCCTTACTATCCGAGCTCGAATCCGAGGATGTCGGGTCGCTCGTAGGGGATCTTCTCCTTCTACTTCTCCTTCCACCATACTTATCCCTTCTCGATCTATCACTCCCACTTCCAGAGCTCCCATCATAAGGGTTGTATCGCTTTCCACTCTCTCCATATCTCCTCTTATCATTTGCAGTATCCCTCTTATTCTCATCGTTCACCTTATCTTCTTCATACTCTTCCTTTCTCTCCTGCTTATTGTCAGAGGCGTTATGGAGTCTCTGTTGCCCGCGTTGATCATCGTTGCCGTCCTCGGGGTAATCCTTATTGGTAACCCTATCAACACGTTGATCTTGAGTTAATTCACCGTCTTCCTGAGCGTCCCCAGGTTGATCGGTTGTAGTTGACAAGAATGGCTCATGGGGGCCTTGGCCGTCCTTGTCTTCTACTTGAATACCTGAACACTGAGAAGACCGATACTTATCGATCACCTGAGGTGAACAGATAAATGGGGAGGAAATCATCCCCTTAGTCGATTCCGGCTCAAAGCCGTATTTACCTTTTTCCGCTTGCAAAATAGTAGTTGAATTAGACGAACTGGAGGACGAACCTCTAGTCCCTTTGGTTACAGTATGACATAGTAGTGGTCGTAGTTGAACTCCTGACTGCATAACCGTATAGTCATCTTCCCTACGACTTGTCTTGTCAACAACCTCTCCGTAACCATCCTCACGAGAAAGTCCTTCTACACCATATGGGGGGTGGTCGGCATTAACAGATACTCGAGTACCCGCTTGTCCATCAATCTCCGAGGCACGACCGTCGATCATAGAATAATCGCTCAGAGAAGAGCATGTGGAACCGTAACCTTTGAACCCTTCAAACTTCGGGCAGGCTACCGCCCCAACCAATACTCGAGCACCCTTCGCTTGTTCATCACGCAAGCATACTAGGTTTGGTACATTGTCATCGCTTTCAACAAGGCTACGCCCGCAGGCGTCATCGGCGGGTTTGACGAGGCAGGGACGCACCGACCGATGGCTCCCATCTAATAACGACAACCTCGGACCTGTTCCAAGTGCATAGGCTGGGAAACTACCTAGCATCTGTACCCTAACTAGCCTTCCAGTGGGCGTGACATCATCGCAGATGGCATCGAGAGGATGCCCGTTTCCACTAGGAGAACCCTCACAGGCGTGATCTAGAATGCACTGTGAAGACCCTAAGGAGTTGGGGAACTTGGCGGGCACGCAGCCAAACTCCTGGTGTGCTCGGGGGTACTGACCTTGTCCATCTGACCGTACCCTGGACCTATGGCTCCTTGCCCAACGCCCGGTCCACATAACTCGGATCAACGGGACGATACAGGCGCTAGCGTCCTCTTCCAAACTACGGAGGGGAACGCCCTGAGTTACAAGGGCGCGAGATGTGGTGATATCTACCACCCTTGATGAATCTTCTTGTAGCTCACCACAACTATCCGACCTTACTGTGACCTTATAGGGCGCCTCAATGACCTTATCAGCCCCAAGTTGGGCCAGTTTGTATGCCATAAACGCCAAGCCACGTAACCATTCACAGGAATCCCTTGGTAGCCCCATATCTACCCTTGGATACCATACCTTCGGTAGCCTCGCATTAACCACCATGGGGATGAACCCATGCTGTCGCCCTTGCTCCTCTGGACCATCAATGATGTCATTTATATCACCAATAGGTTGGGGGGGCTCCACTTCGGAACTTGCCAATAAACCGAGCGGCCTTAGAGCCTCCTCCAAGTCAGTGCGGTTGTTAGATACATTCTTCTTGATACCATCATACCCCAAGCTCCGATCCAACAAGATATCGGTCGATGTAACCCTTCTCACAGACCTTATATCACCAGTAACCGTAGATCTGTAGTCGGGAAGAATCCCGGTAGAATACGCGCAGCGGTGGTCCTCCCTATGAGGACTCGGGTAACTAGTGGGAGTAACCGAGGTACCATGGGTTGACTCCCTTTCTGCACACTGCGCATGAGAAGCATGACTCGTCTTTTCCTTAACACGTCTACGACGTACCTTGACTATAACATCAGTGTCACGATTACGTGGCACTTCGGTAGTCTTTCCTGAACGTGTAACAACCATTCCGAACTCAGATAACTCAAAGCTAGACTCCGTTAATATATATCGACAATCCGTAGCGACAACCTTAGTCCTCAGATGACTCAAAAACCCTAAACCCATAAGGGTTCGCAAAACCATAGCGAATGATCCAGTGCCCAATAGAGTGCAATCAATGGCCGCAAAACTATAGCAACACAATGAAGACCCTATTATCCATATCCTCCTCATATAGATATGGATCCCTATGTAAGCTAGTATAAGTCAGTAACTAGTAAAAGCCTTGTATAGAACTTATACCGGACTCAACTTAGCCTAACTTAACTTATAAAAGCCCGTACGTAAACACACAGCAGCGTGAAAGCAGCACGCATGTACATAAAGTAGCGCTCGCCTATGACCAGCATCACAGAATCCTTAGTGTCATACCTCGCGCCGTACGGATGCGCGCATCGTTTTTTAGAGTAAAGGTTGAACATACTTCTCGCTCAATTTCCACAGGTGCTCCGCCAGTGTGCTCGAATCCATGATTCCTATCATATTTGAAATTTGAATTAGTTCGATAATATCTCGGGTCTGGCATAGCTGCCCTAGGGGGGGAATTGATGGTATTGGGGTATATCTTGGGAATGGCATAGCTGCCCTAGGGGGGAAATTGATGGTATTGGGGTATATCTTGGGGATGGCATAGCTGCCCTAGGGGGAAATTGATGGTATTGGGGTATATCTTGGGGATGGCATAGCTGCCCTAGTGGGGGGGATTGATGCTATTGGGGTATATCTTGGGGATGGCATAGCTGCCCTAGGGGGGAAATTGATGGTATTGGGGTATATCTTGGGGATGGCATAGCTGCCCTAGGGGGAAATTGATGGTATTGGGGTATATCTTGGGGATGGCATAGCTGCCCTAGTGGGGGGGATTGATGCTATTGGGGTATATCTTGGGGATGGCATAGCTGCCCTAGTGGGGGGGATTGATGCTATTGGGGTATATCTTGGGGATGGCATAGCTGCCCTAGGGGGGAAATTGATGGTATTGGGGTATATCTTGGGGATGGCATAGCTGCCCTAGTGGGGGGGATTGATGCTATTGGGGTATATCTTGGGGATGGCATAGCTGCCCTAGGGGGGAAATTGATGGTATTGGGGTATATCTTGGGGATGGCATAGCTGCCCTAGGGGGAGATTGATGGTAATGGGGTATACCTTGGGAATGGCATAGCTGTCCCATTAGAGAGAGGCAGGAGCATTACTTCCACCACTGTATCTACCCTTCATTAGCCACACTGATCATCGTCGTAGTCGTCTGCTGCTGCTGCTTTGCCTTCTCAATTAACCATCAGTTCGTTTTGGGCTGGTTGTTAATGTCATTCCGTACCTTCGTCCCGTCCGAGGAGTACTTGTCATCATTAAGAACTGGTCTCAATGGACCTGGTCATGATAATATAGGCATTCTCAATACGATCTCAGCAACACCAAAATTCCATTTCGGTCCCTCTCTTGACCATCCACCAAGCTCGAGCCCGTCCACAGTCAGTGGCAACTCCCGACCCGCTACAGTTCTCCCTTCTAGAGCCAGGCTAGAGACTTTGCCAGAGGTATCGCTTCAGTGTCATCACAAAGCTCTAGACCGTCGACTGGATGAGGTAACTTCTGTATACGGTAGGGAAATGGAAAAGGGAAAGCGAGTCGTTGGTCACGCCAGAAGGAGAAAAAGCGAGATAATACGATTGTTGCGGGAGATCGATACCATCCCACAGCAGAAATCTGGTAAAGGATTCCGGAAGGACGGCTCTGCAACTAGTCAACGACGGAAGCTCATCAGTGATGCCCTCAATTCTAGGGAGGTTGGGAAGGGGAAAATACGACATCGGAGTTCCTATAGCAAGAGGCCACCAGTTGAACGCTCTGCTAGAGCTCCTTCTGTGAGGGCAGTACATACCGCTCCAAAGATACCTTCCGGGTCGACCTCCGACCCACTGATGGCCCCACACATTTTCCAGAATTGTCACGGTATTGATGACGGTTCGAGTGAACGTTCAGCTAGTAGGACGGCAGAGGAGATAGTAACCGCAACTAGCTCGGAGATGGTGCCATTGACTCCACCAGATTGGATTCTTAAAGGGAATCCGGAAGGCTCGGCAGTCGAGCTAGACATGCCAGTAGAAGACAGTTCGGACAGACTCGAAGCCTTCGTGAATACTATAACGAGCACGATATCATCAGGTCGATCCAATAAGGAAGCTGAGCGACCCTATGTTATGCAGCATGCGGCGTTTGCAGATCCACTTCTGAATCGAATGACATCGTCTGCAGTCAGTGTTGCGCGAAATACATCAGTGAGGACACTAAGTCGACAGTCTACTCCCGGGGGGAGTAGAAGTGCTGCTAGAGCTGAATCACGACGAGCTAGATGGCGGGAGAAAGCAATAGAAGGGATAGTGCCCGAGCAAGAGACAGTGAAGGTTCAGGGAAAAGGACGAGGCTTTGGTGCAGTAGCGACGAGCCAAAGCGCTTACGGAAGTATCGTTGGTGGAAGCCGACCGGCAACAGTGGGTGGGGTACGGCCTCGAAAAGTATCTTTAAAAGCACCATTGGAAACATTCCGGAAGTAATATCATCGCATTTTCATGAGTAGTCACTCGTTGAGTTGTCAATCGACAAGTATGATAGAAGCCCACGATGATATATTATCTCTGCCGTCCTGGTCCGTGTGGGAGAGCACTCTTCGCACTGTAGTCAGGAAATGCCGTAGCTTCTCTGTATCTTACCAATGGGTTGATGATCGCATCGTTATTGATAGAATGTATTTGTATGCTCTGTTTGTATTGATGTAACTTTAGCGTCAAAGGCAATGACCTTCTCTTTACTCGACGGGGATACTTATTGAGGTCCCGTAGTGGATGTGCTTCGTATGCGTTTCGTATTCGCTGAGTCCATCGGGGTATCTCGGAGCACCACGTAGGGGTACTACTTCCTATGAGGTCGCCTCGCGTTGGAGCAACATCGTGGGTGGGCTCTTTTAGTTATATAGACACGACCCTCGTGGCTATGAATAAGCTACTGTCTTCGATGGTTTGGAGCTCCTCCAGAGTTATAATATAAATGTCTTGCAGGGTTTACTGCTCCCATCGACATGGTCTATTCTCTGCTTCATTCTGCTATGCTCATTCACAGTGTGTACGCCTCAACGGTGAGAATACCTATCCAACGTTCGGAAAATCTTATCGCAACGTATCTGTGGGTTGATGGCTCTCCTCAATCCCCTATAGTCGACTCTGGGAGCTCTACCACAGTATTTGTGTGGGAGGAGTGGTATGAACGAGCATACAGTCCTAAGAAATGCCAACAACTCCTGACTGGGTGTTATCCTAGTCTTCCAGGGATTGTCTATCGCAGTGATCGCAATCGAACAATCAAGTTACAATCGGGAGGGAGCTTGACAGTTTTCGATCACAACGGCGCCGTACTAATCGGAGAGGACAAGTTTCACCTTACCTTCAGCCTGATGTGCGATAAGCATTGTTATCCACCCGATGACGATGATGAGGCTCATTCACTGCTGGGCCTAGCCATGTCTGCTGGCCGTAACCCGACCCTTATCGAACAGCTTTTTGATACCGGTAGACTCAAGAGCCCCTCCTTTTCTCTCTATCTTGACCCCAAGTGGCGTAGTGACAAGGGTTTCGTCGGTGAGCTCACTTTTGGTGGAATGGATTCGATACGGTATATCAAACCAATGGAGTACGCTCTGGCCGCTGGGGAAGACAGATGGAAGGTCCAGTTGGATACAATCACAGTAGGCGACTCCCGATTGAAAGTATTCGGAGATGTAGCTTTCGTCGACACTGGTACCAACTATCTCTTCGTGCCGGCTAAGCATTGGGAAGCCCTGACCTCAGCTATCTGGCAGGGTCCTGATGTGAAGTTGACTTATTTCCCCAAGCTTGATGCCTTATTTGTGTCTTGCAGGGAAAGAAGTAAACTGCCTGATATCGCTCTTGGGATCAGAGGTCTCAAGAAGACTGTTTATCTATCGCTCAGCCAGGAAGCTTACGTCGCGGCAGATCTGAACGGAAAATGCTATCTACAATTCTACCGTTCGCCAACAGAGTATTGGATTTTTCCCGACTTCGTCCTAGTTGGTAATTTCCTTCACTTCCTACCATCGGGGCTCTCAGGGCATCCTTCACCAGTTATCGGTATTGCCAAGTTGAGATCTTTACCAGAGCCTCGATTGAAAGGCGGTGCACTATCAGTCTAGCGCCCGTGATTGTTATTCTTCCTGTTGTTGGGGACATGTACTCGAGATGTTCTGTTATGGTATCCCTTTCTGGCATTGTGCAGTCCATGTTGTAGCTAGATGGGGTGATACGCGAGATGTCAATGAACTATAGCCGAGAATTGTGTTTACAGCTGTTGTTTGAGTGAGTTTGTAGCAATGGGTGAGGCCCACTAGCACAGAGTGTTCTTGGGTGAACATGGCTAATATTAATCTACGGGGAACTATTTCCCGCACAATACAATTATAGAGGACACTTCACTACGTTACTTAGTTTATGTATTACCGCGGTCGTTATATCTGATGGAACTTGTCCGTGATCCCATAGTTTAATCATGATATTTTCCTTGGGATGGTTTTTGTCAACGGAATCTCACGCTGCGTCAATTTCTTCTCGCTCCTTCAATCGATCATCATCCGAATTGCGATGACGACCCAAAAATCAAAGGACGCGACCATTGGCTATACATCTGATGATACGATAATGTCCTATCCGTGCCAGTTGTATGAGCTCTTGAGTTTTTTTCGGTAGTATCAAGCTGTATGAACTCAACGACTCAGCGTAATTGACAAAAGACTTATATGATGGAGGATTTAGTAATCTCCCCCACGGTTGCTATGAGGCAATATCTCCGAACTGTGACCCCCGCGTGGAGGTGCTAATATGAATGCGTAGTCGAGGATGGGCCACCAACACTAAGGGTAACGGGCGTAGTAACTGTGCCCAAGTTGCTCCAGATCTAAACATGAGAGCAGGGATCGCTAAATTACAGTTAACATTTCACCACCAAAAGAATTTATCAATTCCGGCGATCTAAAATCTGGTATCGGAACAACGTCCTTGGTGCTCAGAACTTACTGATGATCAGTGTGAAACCGAGTTTCTCGTATAGCCTGATGGCAGCTGCATTGTCATTTTCCACCATCAGACTCATAGCACCGAAGGAAGGTATGGTTTTAGAAAGCTGAGGGCAAGACTGCTGAATGCACCTTCGATCTAAAAGGCTTGAAGAGCTCCACACTGTGAACCTACCAAGTCAAAGCTCTCTCCTAGAAGCGTAGTGGCGATTCCTTTTCCACGCCTGTTCTTAGTCACGAAAACCTGCTGGCACAATGTGGAACACTCATGAATGGCAATGAGAATATGGCAATAGATAATCTGGCTCAAGAGGATTCGAGCTATACTAAAGTAATGCGAGTATCGACGTGAGAATGAATAGAATCACTCGACTTACATATCCAATATAGCCGAGTACCCCTTTCTTCGGCTTCTTCCTAACAAAACGAAGATAGACAAATTTGTCCAGAGCCATGTGACTGTACTCGAAGCACCAATGATTAATTGGGACGGAAGACTGCCCATCGAGACTCGAAGCGAATAGACAATGACTGTCGCATGAGCTGACTACTATGTTGTTGAAACATCTCTTAGGACCCACATTTTTTTTCTAATGAGCTTCTCTACATTCGGGGCCAATCCATTAAACGGAATCTTGTTCTTGACGACCCCGATAATCTCCTGAAAATGAAATAATGAGAGGAACATTAACATATTTCTTGCTTCGTTCCCTTCAGTTGTATCGACGGCTACGTAGCAGTAGCTCCCACGATCCAGGCAGTCGGCGAGGTCGACGGCGATCATCGAATCTCCAGATTTATACCAACGGTAGACTACGCCATCCGATTGATATGCTGATTCACTGTTGAGCATAGCATCTAGTTCATATTCGGTGGAGAATTGATCGGAATCCCCGACCACCATCATGACGAGGAGGAGGACACCAACAGGGATGTAACACATCTTCATATTGTGAAGCTATGAACTAACAGGGTTAGGACTTAGTATACCATTTATTGTGAATGTGAGGACGAAATCCATCTAGATGGTCTACAGTCTGAATTTCAGACACAATTCGCCGCCGCGCTCTCGCGATTAACAATGTGCTGATCGTAGTCTCGCGCAGGTGCACGTGAATGCGTCACGTCATGCTACGTCACGTCATGCTACGTCACGTCATGCTACGTCACGTCATGCTACGTGAAGTGCCGCAACGGACTGAGATCTTACGGTTGAGATCATTAGTGACAGGCATTGAACATGAACATGGGATGAGCGATAGACGATAGAATGTATTAGGTTAGAGGTTGCCAGGAGTAATCCTTTAGCGGGACGACAGAAGGTTTCTCATGTTATTTTTACTCTACTGGCCTCGCGTGGAAAAACTGCGACACCACATTTAGTCAATCCGGTGTGTTTACTGAGGCTTAAGATGCGGAAATGAAGACCACTCTGGCAGAAGCCAAAATGCACACTATAGCGCCAGATCGTGCTCCGCGGACTTGAAGCCACGATTTTCTGGAAAGAGGATCAAAATGTCGATTATTGGGTAATCGAAAACACATGCTCTCACGCACGTGGCCTACGTGTACCGAATTTCTCGTGACGTGAGCGCAGAAAGGACTTCTGACAATGTCTCTTTATGTTCTCTATGTATGTTTTTTACATCCATAGATGGCATGGTTTTCTGATATTATCATCAGCTATTCCTCTCCCAAATGAATTTTCTTTCGCTGAGTCGTCTGGGAAGGATTACCACATCGTCAGGTTGCTGTGATTTGGGCGTGAATGTGGCGCACAAAGTTGTGCGCTAGATGGCCTGCACACGTGAATTGATCGATTTCCCCGTAGGCTACGGACCGTAGCTAAAACCAGGCCAACCGCTCAGAAAGTATGCTTTCCTTCACGTCACATCGGCTACAAGTGTCGAGTTGCACAAGAGCGATAGCGGAAGCTTAAACACGACTCTGAGCGCGGACCCGGTTCTCGGAGTTGTGCGCGAGTAAACAGTGCGTGAGGCTGTTGAGGCATACGAAGTTCCTAATAGGAACGCGTCACTCAACGCAGATCCTATTCTCGGTTCTAGTGTCTAGTTGGCTGGGGTACCGCCGAGAGATTGTTGTACGAGTCGATGATTAGGGCTCCCGATTCTCCCTGTCTATTCGTAGGCAAGGCCGGTCTGCGAATTGACAGCCATGAAAGCCCCTCCGACTCGAGAGTGTGGGATTGGAGAACCGAGGCGCCATTCGGCGAAGGCTGGATCTCTAAGTGTGCGCGAGATTGCCAATCAAGCAACGTTCAACGTTGCCACTAGTCTCAGACTGGTAGTCTTACTGTCTGATCTGTAGATCGGCAATCGGGGAATCCATGACCTGCGAATGCGCCGAAGGTTATATGTGGCAGGGACCGCATGGTGCGGACTAAGTTTTACTTGTTGCACACCGATACGGGCCCGGCACATATCCCCCTGCTCCAATCCCACACTCCGGATTCATATATATTGTATTGTGTTGGGGAATCAATGTAGGAGGTAACTATCTACTTCTCATGCCCTAAATGATTGAGACTGAGTCATAGGATCATTCCCTCGTGGGGTCATATCCTCATCATCATGAGACCGTTCGGATCAGCACTCCTCCCGGTTGCGGTACCGACAGTACCAACTTGAGGTGTAGCCTACACCGTGTAGGTGGTTCGCTGATTCGACAGCAATGCTCAACAGTTGAAAGTTCGTGACCACCTCGTGCATGAATCCCTAGCCAAGATTAACGGCGAGGATTACATGCATCAGCTGACTTCTCCAAGCGGTCTAGCTCCTAACGAGGAACAGGGAGTCTAGCGGTGTCCTTCAGGACTACACTGTAGCATCCTGATTCTCATCCATGATTCTCAACATCCGAGTTCATTGGGATGCATCTCGGCTGATAGGAACTTGAAATAAGTAGATATTATCAAGTTACAATACAGCTAGCAGATCTCTCAATAACACATGAAGTTCCGCGCTTGGCAGTCAACTCAACGAGCATCCCATACCCTTAAGTTTGGCCACTCGTGGCTCAACCTGAGCCG